GTCAATGTTAAGCACACTTTTTAAAAGACAACATAGAATGTATAGAAACAAGGGGTTGGGGGTCTCATGCTCATTTCCACAATACGGGTAATTAGGTTGGCTGGTTTTTAAAAGGGCCAGGACGCCGCTCAGGACAGCGATGGTCCAGGGGCCCTCTGTAATGGGACTGATTCACTGTTCCAATGTGGGTCTGTTTTTTTGTTTTTACTTTTTATTAAAAAATATAAATAAAATGGCACTGCAGGCCCGGGCAGGAAGGACTCTGCAGGACTCTGTCTTCGCACAACGGCTTCTTGGAGGCTACTGTCAGAAAACATCACAAACTAGCAGGATGACAGACCACGCAGATGTCGACTGGGCGGCTCGCGTCCACCCCGCCCCTGGGGGCTTCAAATTTTCTCAGAACTTAAGGGCTCTCGAGCTTCCATCCGAAAACTGCCACACATCTTGAGCTCTCTGGGTACTACGCCAAATGGGGGTGTGTGAAGAACCTAGAAAGAGGTTGGAGACAGAGGAGGGGAAAAAAAAAGTACAGGTGTGACTTGGCCCAGTGATTTTCTGTTCTCTAACTAGCTTTTTAAAACTATAACTTAAATCCACCACAGGTTGAGCCACTGGCATCTTAAACATGATTTCAAACTCAGTCCCCTCCCCCCACATCTCTGACCTCTGAGTGCCTTTCCCATGCCTCCCTCCCTGCCTTCCCCCGCCAGGGACCCAGACCCGCTACCCGCTCATATGATAGTCCTAATAAACTGGGGACACACCTGGAAGGAAACACTTTCCCTTATGACTGAGAAAACTGGGTAGGAAACAGTCCTTTGGTTGAGGAGAACAGGGGAGGGAGGGGGGCAGGGGGACATTTCCTTAAAATAATAATAAAATTATAAAGAAACAGAAACTCAAAATTGATGTAAAAGCAGCACAACGAAAACATGAAATGTCATCAAGTTCAACGTCAAAGCAGCCAACGATTTACAAGAGGCGAACAAATCTCTGAAGAGGAAACCAGAACCCAAAATAGTTGCTCCCAAATTGCACCAAAAACTGCCTGTAGTTTCTTTCAAACATGCAGTTTTCTTTTCCTTTTTTTCTTTTTGGTAAGGGGGAAAGGCAATGGTGAAGGGAAGAAGGGAGTGGTTATTTTCCTCCGGGGTTCCTCCCTTGCTGTGTACATTGACTTGAAGCAGCAGAACTGGGAGTCCGGATGTGCCGAGGAAGAGGGCTACCACTGTGGCATTCCAGGGCTCGTTGCCATGGCGACCCGAAGCAGGGGCCTGGGGCCTCCTCTTCCCCGACTTGGCGCCGCAGGAGGCCCAGGGTCTGGAGCTCAGCTGCTCTCCCGAATTCCCCCTGCGCAGTGGAGACCCGGACTGAGGGGCCTCCTGTGTCCAGGTGGGTTCTGGGGAACCCCGTTCCCAGTCCAGCCCTGTCACTGTCGTTGAGGCCCCTCTAGCTGATACCCCCATCAAACCCCTTTGTCCGACCTGCTACCAGTACTGAAAACCCTAACAGACAAAATACAGCCTGGGCATGTACCCCGCTCACCGTTATTGAAAAGCACAGCACAACCCCCTATGGGTTTGGGGGTGGGGGAGTGGATGCTGCGTTAGAGGATTGACTTGGGGGAAATCGTTTAATTTGCCTTTTCTGCTGAATCACAAGGACCTGATATCCGCTCCCTTTAAGTAGTCTTTGCCACTTTACAGAAAGAAAAAACAGTATTTGGATCAACCATTGGAGTTGTGTTCAGGCAAGTTTCAGTTCTTAAGTACAATGACCCACGTGAACTGAACTGGTCTCCTTTCCCGTTTGAAAGGGAGGAATTAATTGCATCCCATGACCATAGATGACACTGGGAAACAGAGAGAGAGAGAGAAACAGACCCATCCCCCTAAAGGCTGATTCACTGGCCATGTGTTGTACTAAATGAAACAGAGGGCTAATGGGATAACAAGATGACAGCAAGCAAAAGCGCACACTCAACAACCCATGTCTACCATTTGCAGCTATAGCAGCCCTGAAATAAATGTACATAATCCCAATTCTGGCTATGTGTCCTGATGTCCATTTCTCTAAACATGGGTTCATTTATTCTTAATTGGGAAAGCTGCAGGGCCTTAGGAGACACTTAGGAAAATTTGCTAAGTGCCTCATGCCTTTTTAAAAAGTTAACAGTCTTTTAAAGAACATTTTTCCAAGCAGGTTTAAAGAACACTGCCAATCCCATCCTCACACTGGCAAAACTCCCACATTTCTTTTTCTTTCTTTCTTTCTTTTTTTTTTTTTTTAATGGGAAGTTGTCTGAAAAAAGAAAAGAGAATGGGATGGGTACATTCTTGAACACACCAGGCCCGGGAACAATGGAGTAACAGAATCATAATGAAGAACACACGACTACAACACAGTCATAAGAAATCATGTTTGTGTGTGCGTACAGAGGGCGAAAGAGGTTTAAAAAAAAAAAAAAGAAAACACCGTATTTCCTCCCTCATGCTCTGAGAGTAAAGTGTTCAAAGCAGGACAGGATGGGGCCTGAGGCTCCTCAACTCCTTCTCAGGAAAGCCTGAAATATCCCAGTACCTTTTAACAAACTTAGTGTCTGCGAATAAACCACCTCATTTCCTTATTGCTCCAAATGAAATGATATCTGACCCCCACTGCCACTTCCTTTCAAATTCTCACTTCAAGCATTATGAACATATACAGTACGTACTCATTACATATACAAAAATGGTATTTAAATAAACAGTTCTATCACAGAAGGCCCTGGGAAAAATTCAACTACTTCACACTTCCTGCCAAGGCTGGTACAAATGAAGAACCAAGTGTTCACCCCACTTCTCAGCCACCTTTAAAATGTATTGGCTTCAGTCCTTTTGTAGGTCCTAAACAAAGAGAAGATGGGAAACGGTCTCAGGATAGAGGTAGTCCATGCACTGGAAGGGTTTCTAAGTTAAAATCTGTGAGAAGTAGTATTTGCTGTCCTCCTGTTTATTAAGTTGTTCTCCAAATGAAGATAGAAGGGACCATTTAAGCGTTAAGAGTTCACGTAGGTAGAGGACATTGCATCAACACATCAGGGGTATCACATAAACTGGAGAATTCTGAAAAACGTTAATATCCTTCGTATTTCCTCATTTAAAAAAATATCATGAATTTATCCTCAGTTGGAAATGTTTTTTGTTATTTTGCATTAAGATTTTTAATTTTGGGGTTCCGGATACAGGTGCCATTTTTAAGTTATATTCCTGTTGCCTAGGTTTTCAGGCTCCTATTGTTCACTCAGCTTCAGAAATAAGATTTTATGAGAGGGCTTCAATAAGTCAGAAGACTAAGTACCCTGAAGAACGTGTCTCCCGGTAAATTTATTTAACTTCGGGACCATGTAAATCAAACATAATCCGTGATTTATCACCAGATGCTTGCACCCCTCCCCATTCCCCATTTAAGAAATTTGAACATACAAGTAAGTATACAGTATCCACCATTAATTCTGTCTGTCAGGATGCAAAACCTAATTATGCTAAGAGCATCATATACTGAAAAATTAAAACGAACACTGTATACAAAACCTGCACAGCTGCACTCATAGCTCCTAATAAAAGAGTAATAGGGGACACACATCAGTTTTATGGACATTTGATATGGTGGAGCAGAAGTCACCACATCTAAAACTGGCATGGCCCTGGGGAATATTTCTACCTTGCATAGTATTCTGGATTCAGTTGTGAAGTAACCTAATTCAAAACACAAATATCGCCTCTCAGTTCACTGCCAATTACCAAGTCCTGCAAAATACGTCCATCTCATCCCAGCTCCTATACCCAGCCCCAAATCCTCTCGTACGGGATTCCTCTCTGCCTTCACTCCCTGCTTCCCACCCAAACTGGCTTTAAAAAAATATACCTACTTTCTGTGTATTTTAAAAGGATAAAACCATTCTTGCCTCAGATAAAAGGCATTACATGAAAAGGCCACCTCACAGGCACCAGGGCATAAGACCTAAGCAACAAAAATGCTACCACAAGACAACAGAACAGCTTTTGTTTTGGTTTTTACAAAAAGAAGAACAACGTTGTAACCATTCATCTACACTGGGAACAGGGAGACAGTATCACAGAAGTATGTGTTTTAATAAAGCAAATAGATGCTGCAGCATGCAGTATTTGTAAAACTGACAACACAGATTTCTAAGGAGGGGTTTTTATAAGGGACCTAACCTGCTTTCCAAAGACTATGTTTCATTTCATAAATCTGTTGGTTGGGCAAAAGATCACTGAAGGGTATTCCCTCCCCCGCCCCCGGCCATTTGCTATCAGCCAGGAACACACTATAAAAACACCTAAAAGATCTGTCCCATCTCTGGTCCCTAGGACCTCAGAAGCACAAGGCAAACCACCATCCATCTCAGGAAATCAGTGGCTGATTCCAGAGATTCTTGCCACATCTGGCTAAACTACTGGTTACTTCTCTCTCTCTCTCTGTTAACCTGATGCTTTTGTTTCTGGATTTTTATGGGGAGGGTGGGGTTATTTTTGGTATGAAGAAAGACTCATATGGAAACGAAAGAGCTGATTTTTTACATTATGTTCTAAGATAGGGCAGGGAAGGGAGAATAGAAAAGAACTTTCAGACAACAAGAACAGCAAAAAATCCAAAGGAAATAAAAGTTTAAGATGCTATTACCAGTAAATTTTTCATTTATATCTGAATAGACTATCGTTAAGAGATGAAGGGAAAGTTTTTAACATCAGACTGAAAACACTTTCCATTTCTTGAAAATTATTCTAGAACTATAAAATCTAAAAACTATTTCCATGTTTTGAGATATGTCTATATTAATAGAGTAGGGTATATATACACCTTAGGGTATAATACACGCATCAAAATGCCCATAGAAATAATCCTGAAAAAGACTGACTGGCCTTCTCTTAAAACCTGTTATTTTCTTGAAAGTAATTTACAGAGTGTGTCAAATGAGGACACAAGAAGCTTACGTTGTGTACTTTAATTTTTTTTATTTTTTTCAATAAAGGGACAAAATGGGTGTATGAACAGGTTAATGCAGACAACTGCCAAAAAAACACAGACAGTGGTTTTTCCAATAGAACTTAACAAAGACCAGAAACAAATACAATAAAAAGCCAGGTTGTAATGACCTTTGGTCATCCAAATAAAAAAAAATAAAAACAAAGAAAAATAAAAGATCAAATTAGGTGCCTCTGTTTTGAACAGGGCACGTAAGCAATAATAAATAGTGACTCCCATAGTAAAAGATAAAATTTCAAGTTACGACAAACAGCTTTCATTACAGGAATAGAAAAGGCCAATAACAAAATATTCTGCATTGCCATTTACAAAAAAGTATTGACTAAAGCGGGCTTTCTCTTTAATATGCTTTGCATATGAAATTCTCTCCAATCTAAATATAAAGCACCATTTAGTTTTTGGCAATGAAAAAAACTGCAAAACATTGTTTTTGTTTTTTTTTCCTTTTTTTTTCTTTCTTTCTTTTACTGCGTATGAAGGTAAGATGCTGGAATGTAGGGTGATAGAAGGAAAGGGACAAAAAGCACACTACATAACAAACCAACGTTATTAGCTTGCAGTACTGCATACAGTATGGCAGCAGGAAAAAGGAACAAAAAAGGATATGTACAACCCCTATGACAGCCATCCGTGTGACATTCTAGCAGGCTCCCCCAAACCGCCATTATATGGCTTCTCATCTGTACAATGTCACACTTTTTTGTTTGTCTCTTTTTGTTTTTTGAAGCATACAAATAATTTGCACTATATTATCCTGCCAAATTAAAAAAATATACTGTGGCAGCCTGTCTTTTTTTTTTTTCCACTACCAAAAAAGGTACATTGATACCTTTTAAGAGAACAAGCAACAGTTAAAAATACAAGCTTCAATATAAATACTATAGTGCCTAACACTAGATGAACATTTAATTCAAATACCATTCTAGAAATACAGAAAAAAGACCATAAATGTGTTTTAGCATAGGAATCAACATGAGTGTGCATTTTCCTATATTTAAGTACTATATAATCTTAAACCTTTCCCCAATGTATGTTTTTTTACAACCTGAAGAGCGGTGTGTATCCAAGGCATAGAATTTCCACTACCATTTTTAAATGGATAACAAGTCTTGTAACACCACCAAGACAATGGAACCCTAAAATGCAGTTCCCCCCTAAACATAATGAAGTGTTTTTTAAAAAAATTTTTTTCTTAACATTTATATTTAAAAAAGTTTTGTACAAAAAAATCCTTGCACTGTAGAAGCGAAAGCAATCATTCATTTCTATGTTAAGTGTATTCTGTTTTCCATTCACAGCGCTTGCAATGTTGAGTCCGAGTAAGTAAGCTCATTAGTCAAGTAAATGGCTGGCAAAGGTTTTTTTTAGTTTTTTTTTTTTAAAAATGTTCATCAATGAGATTGTGTTCAATTTTTTTTTTCAGCATTCTTGCAACTTTTCCCTTAAGTATAGACCTGTAAACTGGGAAAATTGTACAGTGCACTTAATTGTCCTATCTGAGCAGGTTTATTTTATACTCAACCTCTGTATCTCTGATTAGAGAAAAGATACAGATATTACAGGCAGAGTCAAGTGCTATTTGAACACCAACTGGGGCAGATGCTAGCTTAATAAAAAAGAAAAAATTAAAAAAATAAAATAAAAACAATGAATCCTCTTCCATGTTAACACAAATAGCACACAGTGTATGGAAAAGAAATGAAGTACAACTTTTAGGGAGCACAGACATATATACTGCTACTCTTAAAATTCTTTCTCTTCTTTTTTAAGAATGTCACATTTAAACACAAGTCTTAAGAATTCATAGTTAATCATCATTGTGTCAGTATTAGCTTATACACCTGTTCTAGTTTAAAATGGCAAATAGTACCACATTGTGCTAAAAGATCACATTTTTTTTTTCCTGTTACCCTCTGTCAAACCTTATTGTCAGTCTCTTCTTTTTAATATGGTCTACGAGGTCTTAAAGTTTATCATTTGATTGTCCCTTTGACAACCAAGTAGATCTGGATCTATTTCTTTTGGTGCCAGAATTTTTTTTGACAGACATTATTTAAAACAAGTTATCTTCATAAAATGAATTCCTTACTAATGCATTTAATTGTATTCCAGGGCTTTTGCACGTTTCACATTCAATTTAATCATTTAAAAAAAATAAAACTTTGGGCAAAACAGCCCATTTCTTTTAAGCTCTCACCAGGAGCAAAATAGCGTTTATACTGGTATAATCAGTTTTGCTTATAAGATTAAAACTAAAGGGAAAATGATGATTAACTAGGACATAATGGGTCATATTTTTAGGTAGCCATTGTTGTGAGAAATACAATATAGAATTATATGCTAGGTCCTAAGGTTTCTTACCTCACCCAATGCTGAATTAAGCTACAAGTTTATAACAAGTAGAAAGAACCATCAACGTGGTTTTAATAGATCCAAGGCACTCATATTTTAAAACCAAATGATAGAATAAGCTTGTTTTGTTTTTCTGTTAATTTGTCAATTCAAGGCCTTTTTTTCCTCTCCAATTGATACATTTAACCCTTTAGAGACAGACATTTAGCTCATAGAGATTTTGTTTCAGTGCTGTCTATTCTGTCTATAGAGGGTTAACCCAAAGACTGTTTTTCCTCCTCACGTTATAAAATAAAACTGTACATGATATGTATTACAGAATGTATGCAGCATGGTCTTTTTCTCTCTCTCTCTCTTTTTCTCTCAGAACGGAACTGGAAACAGCAACATGTTTGCTCAGCAACGAATCGGGGACAATTTAAAATAGCCATAACATACCATACATGCTGTCTAAGTTTAAAAAAAAAAAAACATACACAACATGTAAATTATTGCACAAGAGAAAGGCTCAAAGTTTGCGTAAAATGCAATAGTATTGCCCCATACAGATCATGCATTCAAACGGTGAGAACATAAAGGAAAAAAAGAAAAAGAAAAAAGAAAAAGAAAAAAAAACAGGTGTGCTGGTGACAAGCACTCTCATATTCTTAGCTTCCGTTACTTCTGTTTGTTTGTTTGTTTAATCACATGGGACTAGAAAAAAATCCTACGGGGGAGTGGGGCTGGAGGGCGATGGGGGAGGGGTGGTGGTGAAAAAAGGAAGTGTCAGGTGGGAGTGAGGGAGGGGTATTAATATACCTCTATTCAGTTTTTATATCATTATTCAACACTCGATCACTGTGCCATTTTTTCATGTGTTTCTCCAGGGTACTGTACACGCTAAAAGGCATCTTACAAATTTCACATTTGTAAACGTCCTTCCCCACCTGGCCATGCGTTTTCATGTGCCTGGTGAGCTTGCTACTCTGGGCACAGGCATAGTTGCACAGCTCGCATTTATAAGGCCTTTCGCCCGTGTGGCTTCTCCTGTGGACAGTGAGATTGCTACAGTTCTTGAAGACTTTCCCACAGTACTCACAAGTGTCGCTGCGTCTGCCCTCTTTTGAGCTGGGCCTGCCCGGGCCCGGACCACTAATATGGGGCGTGCTCCCTCCACTTCCCGTGCCGCTGCGCCCCGAGATCCCTCCGTCCAGCTCCCCGGGCGGCGTGGAGAAGCGCAAGCTCCCGTTCTCCGAGGAGTGCTCCGACGAGGAGGCGAAAGGCGATTGTCTGGAGTCTCCGAAGCTAAGGAAGGGATCTTTGAGCTGCCTGGAGGCCGCGTAGCCAGCGAGCCACTGCGAGTACACGTTCTCCGTGTTGGGCATCGCGGCCGGGGGCAAGTCGAACTCCTTCTCGAGCTTGATGCGCTTGGAGAAGGGGCTCAGCGAGCTGGGGCTGCCCAGCAGCAGCTTTTTGGACAGGCCCCCCGAGGCCGACTCACCCGGGGAGCAGCCGCGGCCGTTAACAGTGCCATCGTCTATGCGGTCCGACTCGCCGGCCACCGAGTCTTCGTCGCAAGTGTCCCTGTGGCCCTCGGCCTCGGCCAGGTGGCCGCGCTTATGTTTCTCGCCCAGGACCTGGTGGAAGGCCTCGCTGAAGTGCTGCATGGAGCTGAGCACCATGCCCTGCATGACATCAGGCAGGGCGCGGCCCTCGTCGCCCACGCCCACCACCGCGCCCCGCGAGCTGTTCTCGTGGTGGCGCGCCGCCTCCAGGCTCAGCCCGAAGCCGTAGTCCACCCTCTCGCTCTCCGTCAGCTCCTCCTCCTCCTCTTCCTCCTCTTCTTCCTCTTCCTCGTCGTCCTCCTCTTCCTCCTCGTCCCCATTCTCCGGGATCAGGTTGGGGTCGTTCTCGCTCTTGAACTTGGCCACCACAGACTTGAGCGCGCTGCTGGCGCTGCCCACCAGGTCGCTGGTGCCGGGTTCCGGGGAGCTGGCGGTGGAGAGGCCGTCGTCGGACTTGACCGTCATAGGGGACGACTTGTGCATGTGCGTCTTCATGTGGCGCTTCAGCTTGCTGGCCTGCGTGCACGCGTGGTCGCACAGGTTGCACTTGTAGGGCTTCTCGCCCGTGTGGCTGCGCCGGTGCACCACGAGGTTGCTCTGAAATTTGAACGTCTTGCCGCAGAACTCGCATGACTTGGACTTGACCGGGGGCTGGGAGGGAGGAGGGGCAGATTGCAGAGGAGGGAGGGGGGGCGTCGCCAGGAAGGGCGGCTTGCTACCTGGCTGGAATGGTTGCAGTAACCTTTGCATAGGGCTGGGCCGGCCTGGGGACAGCGGTGGGCTAGACGTGTTCCCTGCCAGCTCTCTAAGTCTCCTAGAGAAATCCATGGCGGGAGGCTCCATAGCCATTGGATTCAACCGCAGCACCCTGTCAAAGGCACTCGGGTGATGGGTGGCCAGGGCCATCTCTTCTGCCCCCAGGCGCTCTATGCGGTGGGGGTCCAAGTGATGTCTCGGTGGTGGACTAAACAGGGGGGGAGTGGGTGGAAAGCGCCCTTCTGCCAGGCCGGAAGCCTCTCTCGATACTGATCCTGGTATTCTTAGCAGGTTAAAGGGGTTATTGTCTGCAATATGAATCCCATGGAGAGGTGGCTGGGAAGGACATTCTGCACCTAGTCCTGAAGGGATACCAACCCGCGGGGTCAGGGGACTTCCGTGTTCGCTTTCTAAGTAGATTCTTAATCCGTGAGTGTTCTGTGCGTGTTGCAAGAGAAACCATGCACTGGTGAATGGCTGTTTGCAAGTTGTACATGTGTAGCTGCTGGGCTCATCTTTACCTGCAAAATAATACAACACCAACATCAATGTTTAATCACAGAGGAGGGCATTAGCAACTGCTTCTTTATGATTCACCTCCTGCCTTCCCTGCCCCCCAGCCCTCAACCCCACAGGCCTAAACCCTAACTGACCTATTATTGCCTGTGCCTACATTGGTGCCTGGCACATCTGGTGCCAGGCACATATTGGTGCCCAATAAATAGCTGTCCAGTCAGTCTTTCTGCCATTTCATTCAGTTGTAAGAATTTTAAATCCAATCTCCAAAGCAGAAAAATCTGGACCAAGACAAGCTTAAGAATGAGGATCCCTACATTCTAGGGAAACTCAGCAAACATCTTTGTTTCACCAGCTGTGGTTTGGGGCAAGGGACTTCATCTCTGTGCCTCCATTTCCTCATTTGTTAAGTGAGGGACTTGGACAAGGTAACCTAAGGGAAACTTCTCTGCTTCCTAAATCCCATCGTTCTATTCTCCCCTGGGTGGCAGGTGAACTTTCTAAAGAGGCAATCATTTCATAGAGACATCAAAAAAGAGAAGGTCAACTCATTACAATTCTCTATGGCCCTAGAGATGCTTTTAATCCTAGCCTGAAACACACTAATTGTTGATATTGTTAAAAATGAGAAGATACTCATAAAATAATTCCAGGAAGAGAAACTAGCAACCTTCTCACATCCCAGCCGGCGTGAGGATCAGTGAGTCCCAATCCTGGTCCCACAACACCCAACAGGGACTCCCATTTTTATCTCAAGGGATGGTGCAAAAAATCTCAAAAGAGAAATTTAATTCGGATTTAACCAACAGGCCGTATCGAATCTTTAGGAGTTGTCCCCCAGTCAAACAAATGCAAGTCTGGAGAAGTTAGGAGGAGTGGCTGGTGCCAACTTAAGCAGACACAAGCATCCTAGTTTAAGAACAGTTAAAGCAGCCAGCACCATGACGGGCAGCAGGCTGAGAAATGCTACACTATCCTCCTCCTCATTATTTTGAGAGGCTAACAACGCGAACCAAATTATACAACATCCTGCGCCCTCGGCTGAGCCTCAGCTCCAGTTGAGAAAGAAACAGAAAGATACAGTTCAGCTAGTCAACTCTTTGGCCAGTAGCCAAGCCGTCTGGAGAGGGGCCCTGCTTAAGTCACATTATTTCTCTCTCGCTGAAAAGAACCCGAGAGTGGTAAATGCCACTTTGGCAAAGAGGGGCCAACTTGACTTCACAATCATTCATTTTTGGAGATAGCTAAATTTAAATATATATATACACCAAGGGAGTAACTAACAGTTTACCAGTCAACTACAGCATTAAAAAGGGCACAAATGTTGGTGGCCAAAGGAGAAGGAGGAGAAAAATAGTTAACTTCCCAGGGATTCCAAAAAAGACAGTGTGTAAAACACAAATGAGAAATAAACTTTAGCCTGTCTTTTTAAAAGGGGGACTAGACGAGTCGCTTAAGGCCCCCAGCTAGTATATGTCAGTAACTTTTTTTAAAAGCAAAAAATCCACCATGGAGCTAAAGAGTGGGAATGAGGAAGTAATCAATTATGATTCCTCCATTTAGCAAGTCAGAAAGAAAAGCTGGCAGGGTCTTCTCAGGAGCCCCAAACACTTGCATTCCAAAACAAGCCCGCTTGCTCAAGCACTTGTCTGAATAATGGACTCCCTGCCCTGACCTTGTAATTTACTTTACAATGCATTTATAATCTCCGTCAATGTATCCCACTCCTGGGTAAATCTCTTTAACAAGATTAGATGATAAGATACCAAAATTAGGTTTCCAACATTTGCCTAATGTAGAGGGAGAAAAAAAAAAAAAAGGCAGAAAGATTTTGAAAGAAAATGCTGACATTAGGATCACATTATCTGCCTATTTTTGTTTTCCTCCTCTCTTCAAAGGGAAATAAAAAGCATCATTGGGAGTATTTTCATAAATTTTTTGTTGTTGTTGAACAATGACTGGGGTCCTAAATAGGCAGGAAAAAAACTATCTGGTTCCAACTAATGTGACCCTCCGCGGCTTTCTCCTTTGCCTCCCTAGGACTCTGTGTTATTATCATACATTTAGCCTGACAATCTGAATTGGGTAAGTAAAAAGGAGATTTGTCAGCTGAAACAAGTCCTTAACACTTTCATCAGTCCAAATGCCTTAAAATTGTATCTTAGCTTGTAATATTCTATTGAATCCCAGGACTGGACCCATAATTAGCAATGCCGGTTTCGCATGCACCGTGAATGGGATGGCGACTGGTGCGTGCTAAAGTTATATAGCACTGCGTCCGGGAGCGCACCTGTATCCTCTCCAAAAGACTTAAACGAGAAAAGTCTGTCTTATTTTGCTGCTCTGAACCTTCCTAAAATTCTGTTTTCAGAGCCAGTTGATGTGATCACTTTACAGTATATGTTCACGCTATGCTGTTACCCTCCCCTCTCATACATCAGGTCAGAGAAGATGCCATTTCATCTTATGATGAGCACACAACATACAGTTTTCACTATGGCATTTTAGTATCCTATCAACTAGATATTCTAGATCATGAGGGCAGCTAGTGTAATCATAATGTCAATGAGAGGGGCTGTTACGATTGAGACTAAAGATTACATCGAAAGAGCAGCTTTGAAACTGGTAATTATTACTAGTCCACTAATAGCAAATGATGCATTACAGTTTCACCACATAATCTGTGTTTCACTCAGCTCACGCCAGTGCACCATATTATATTACGGTGCTCACAGATTCTCAATTCCTAAACTGCAGTCATCAATAAATGTGTTACTTGCCATAATTTGTGAAATTACTTTGTTCATAACATCTTTGATGGTTTAGAAAGGCCAGAATTGATTTCCTGCGTGGCAAAATTAGGGCTACATTGATTTATTGACGTGTAAAATATAATAATATTCTTCATTTACTCTGACGAAAATCAACTTCTCAATTTGAGAGCCTCATTGGGCATTCACGGGGATTGTTTTGATTTAGAGCAATAAACTGAGACCTGGCCCCAAGCGTAGGAACTCCAGGCATCAAACGGTTAAAATCAGCTATTAGCTCACCTACCGGCTTTTATTTTATTTCTTTTTACTGTATGGGGAGGAATAACCCCATTTTTACGTTATCAGCAATGCCAAAAAGTAATGTGATCTAAGCCTCAGGATTTGGAAGAACAAGGTCTGACACCAGACCCCTGGCTCTACTATTTACCAGCTTACGGCTCTGAGCCAGTCATGTCATTTCTTTGAACCTTAGGTTTCCTATCTGTAAAGTGAGCATAAAAACAGTACCTGAAAGAATTGTGAGGCTCAGATGACAGACGTATATAAAAGCCATATGTAAACTACCAGGTCCGACGTGAATGTGAGTTTTCATTACTCCCAGGCTTGGTGAGTTAACCTAGCATGATGACTGACCATGTTGTACACCCAGAAGGGCTTCCTGAAGAAGGCTGGAATCCAGAATCCAGGCCTCAGCCCAGGCCAAGGGGAGGCCCTGGCTAGAAGGCAGCAAGAGGGGGCCACATTAGGGCCCACGACTGTGGTCCACCAGCAGGGAAGCCACAAGGTTAAGTGCTAAATGCTCTGCCAGCCAAGGGCAGCCGGTTAAGGCAGCTGAGTGACCTGGAGGTCAGCTTTGCTCGAGAGCTTTCTGGAACTCCACAACCCATTTCCACATACCTTGTCTGGTCACTCCTAAACTGGTCCTGCCAGCACGGGCACCAGCAACCTGGGCACCCTCCCTTTGCGGGAAGAGGGGGAGAAGACGTGGGCTCTGAATCAGGCTCCTAGTTTCCCACCCCTCCAATCCAACTCCCTGCCCTCAGGAGGGTCAGCGGAAGAGGGAGGCCAGCAGCCCCTGGCCACTCAGCTCCATGCTCCTCTCTACTGCCCCACTCCCTTCTTTTCCCTTCCCTCCACAGGTGGCTCTGTTCCCACGGCCCCCTGCGGGGCCCCAGGCACCCCCAGCCAAACGTGGAGCGCTCTCCCCACCCAGTCAGCATGTAGGGACTCGAAACCAAGAGTCCAACCCCCTAAACTCTCTAGAATCTGTGACCTAAGCCAGGCTTAGGCCCAGGTTGGTGTTGGGGAGCGGGTGGCAGAAGAGGTACTTTTTAACCCCTGCACCGCCCAGCCCTCAGGACTTGAGGACTTGTGAAATTCACACAATAACTCTTTGTTGCCTAGGATTACCTAGGAGTTAACAAAACAAACAACTGGCTTCAAATTTGGTCTCAGGGTGCATGCCCTGCCCTGCAGACACCATTCACAAGATGGTGAGGTCTACTTGACCTCTCCCGCCTAAAAACCAGTCCCCTCTCTAGCTGAACACCTGCATCTTGTTCTTTTCTTTCCGTGACACTTTCCCTTTCTTTTCTTCTTTCCACAGGTTAGTTTTCACATACTTTCAAAATGAACATACATTCCTTAAATAAAAATTCGATGCCACACTTCCTTTTTTTCTGGAAGCTGCTTTTTCGTGTTTGGGGTAGAATCAACCCCCACCCCCATCGGACTCTGTAGCCGTGCATGACTCATATTATCTGTTACTACATAGAAGAGCAAACTGTATTACCTTCTAGAACAACGTCTTTCAAACACGTTTTCACGAACATACAAATCTACATTTCATAAACATTTCCCCACCATAAAAGTTGGTTTGAACAAGTACTTGGAGGGTGTTAATGGTAGTGGTGGGGTGGTGGTGGAATCTTTGATTTTAAGCAACAATGCTGTGCATTTTTCTCTAAAACTAGGAGAAAAATAAGGACAAATTATATATGTATGCACATATATAATGCACCATGTATATATACAAATATACCATGTTTCAGTTCACATGTAAATGCATATACAACATGCATGAGAACAACTCTAGAGTAACTCTAAACTGACTTCTTTTGGTTCTGGCCTCTGCTAACACGTACGCCATGGAATAAACTCCAAGTCCTAAATGAGGCCATGCAAGTGAAATGTCCAGCAATAAAATGGGCCCTGAACACACAGATGGTATATGGTCACCAGCCGTGGAGCCAGATAAGACCCTGGGGCGAAGACCCCCCCCTCCCCCCAGGGATGAGCTGCTGTCAGCTCCATGTCTTCAGTGAGGAAAGAAACGAAAAAGAGGAGGGGGTCGAGTGGAGTGGGGGAGAGGGTGCCAAGTGAGTAATGGAATAATGCTGATGAGGATGCCAATCTATTTTGGAAGTAACTCCTTCCAGTACTTAAAAAGTAAGGGTAATTTCCAGAAACTCTCAACTTTATACACATGGACATTTGTAGAAAAAATAATGCTCAACTTACAAATACCCTGCGGGGCATATTCTGCACTCATCCCGGGCGTGGGGATTAGAGCTCCGTGTGCAGAACGAGGGGAGGACAGGCCCCTCCAGTGCAGAAGTTTATCTGTGAAAGAAACCCAAAATCAAGCACTAAAGCTATAAACAATGTGCATCGTAAACCACAGGATATCACATTTCAATTCCATTAAAATAGATTAACATCATTACAACAGCCTTGCAGATAGTTAACAGGCCCAAGGCCTGTATCAAAAAAAAAAAAAAACAGCGATGAAGTTATTTCCACACAATTTTGTTTTGTTTTTGATTTTGGTCTTTTTAGACAAAAGAGAAGGGGTTTTAGTTGGGGGGGGTGGTCTTTGGTTCATTTTCTTCTTTGTTATTGTTTATTGTCTTATAATAAGAGATGTATACACAGCAAGGGGGAAATTGGTAATATTAGGGGGTAGACTGGCAAAATGGAGGGGATTTATCTGCAAGGCTGGTTTACATGCATACATTTACTTAACAAGATAAGCCCAAGCAAAAAACAATATGCAAGTAGGAAATGAGTGGATCTGTGAATCATTTCTTCTAGAACAGAGAGGCCCATTCTGCCTTCCCTGACCCACTGCTCCCTCGTCCCAAGCTGTACTTATGACAGCACCTTCGGGGAAAGGGAAATCGTGGGCTGGGCCACAGTCTAGAATCGGATCAATGGAATACTCCATTTAGACACGGCTTCTTACAACACAAAGCAGTGGAGAATAAAGATTAGACTTCTGGGGTTCAAATAACTTTGGCCAAGTCCACATCTTGAGGGTAAGGAATCCTACTATTAACGTGACAAGGAGAGAACCAGCACCCAGAAAAAGTGGCCCACCTTCTCCATTCTCCCGCACTTGGTCTCTCTCTGGTGAGGAGAAATGACTTCTCACACCAGTAAACATAAATCTAGCAGTAAATCAAGCATTTCTAGCACTGAGACTTTTGTGAGAAAGGAAATATTTGGTTTGTGTGACCTGGGGATTATATGGTTTATGTGGTAAGTTCCCAGTTTTTCCAAGTCCACCTTGAGCCAACCAAGCATGGAGAGGTCAACCTTGAGATAGAGTGTAGGATCGATGGAGCAGGAGATACTCAGTATGTTCTAGAGGCTGGGAGGTTGTGATGATTGGGGGAGGAGGGAGAGAAGAAAAACAGACTTTGATGGTGAGTAAACAGAGTATGTTTTCCATTAGCTTAATATTAAGAGCACTTAAAAGTGTTGTTGTTAGACTCTAGGATAGCAGGTCTCAAGTGTAAAATACATCCTGTTCTCCTTATAGAGATTCATGCTGCCAAGAACAGCCAGGGCAGTCAGCACAAGGCTCCCTTTCATGGGGAGCCCGGTGGGTAACAATGGCGTGCGTGGTGCTTGTGCAAGATCTTATACTCGGTTGTTACCAGGCCTGCAAAGGGGGCTGCTCTCGGCAACCATCTCGAGAGGCATATCCTCCGCTCTTACCCCAAACAAAATAAATACCATAGGGTGCCTGGGTGGCTCAGATGGTTAAGCGTCTGCCTTCGGCTCACATCATGATCCCAGGGTCCTGGGATCAAGTCCCGCATCGGGCTCCCTGCTCCTTGGGAGCCTGCTTCTCCCTCTGCTTCTCTCTCTCTCTCTCTCTCTCCCCCTCTCTCTCTCCCTCTGTCTCTCATGAATAAATAAAATATTTTAAAAAATAAATAAATAAATACCACAAAATGAACCCGTGAAAAGTGCAAAGACTGGACTTAAGAAAAATAATAATAAGTATATCTTCATTCAACTGTTTATATTATAAACAGGGTATTGAGAATAGAGGGTAAAATTAACTACGGATTTAGTCATTGTGTTTTTCAACAAGAAGTCTGAGAACCCATTTTTGTACTTGCTCTTGCCTTAGCCCTTTCCTAAGTTTGTCTTGTGACCAAGATGGAAATATTTTTCTTAGGAGACCCACACAGCTGAGGTAGCTCTGTGACCCTAGCAGAAATACAGCAAGGGACCTGGACCCCTGCACAGGGATGGTCTGATTTCAAACTCCCTGCCACTTCCTCTGAGAAGAGCCATGAGGTGCCTTGATAGGCCTCCAGCAAGAAATGGGAGGGCTCTTAGCCTAACCCAGGCCTGACCGCTCGCACTTACCTTCCTTGGGCAAACCTGTCTACAAACTTGTCGGCCCCGAGCAAGCGGAGCTTCCGGGGGCAGCAGCCTGGTTCACTTTTCCACAGGGCCAGGCCACGTGGCAAAGCAAGGGCCAGTATCTGGGTATCTGGCACCACGACCCTGCTTTTGGCTTTTGAATTGTAAAAAAACCTTCGAGATCCTCAAGTCTATGCCTTCATTTTACAGATGGGGAAACTGAGGCCTTGAGAAATCAAGTGGCTGGTCCACAGCTATGCTGACGGCTAAAGTGAAGATTGGAATTAGTCTCCTGACTTCCCATCCAGTGCTCTTTTCTGGGATAGCCATCTATCTCTTCCCCTGGTTCCTGCCCAAGAAGTGCCAGTGAGGAGGGTTCTCTTTCACCTGACCCATTAAGAGAAACAACTTCTCGTAACAACCTCTTGGGAGAGAGTCCAACCCAGAGGTGTTGAGTGGGCCTTTCGAAGGATCCAAATAAACAGACTTGGCTTCAAAATTGGAAAACAACACCTGATCTGCTTCCTGAGCCTCTTAGCTACACCCTCTCCCCAACCCAGACCTCACAGCTTTCACCCTTTACCTCTGCTTCCCCTGCAGCATTGGCCAGCTGAAGAGAGACAAACTGTTCCTATCAGCTTAACAAGCTACTGACACTGTCTTTCCAAGAGACCCATCCTTGCATTTCTCTTCCTCCAGGAAGGGCGTCGAAGCAAAGGCAATGGGGAACCCCAGCTGATTCTGCAGCCTTTCCCACTGAACACATTCCCCTTGGTAAGTAGTCGACATTCTCACAGGAACTGGAAATGCTAAATTGTTAATAGCCTCCCTAGGGTTTAACTTTTTGCTGTGATGCTTTCAATTATTTCAACATGTTTTAGGCAAAGTCTCACAATGAATCTTCTTAGCATCACACTCAGCGAGCAGCTCTACCTGCCTGAACCACCCCTGGCTGAGGGTCTTTTCTCTTTCCCAGGGAGTGGTGGGCTGGAAAGTGGGCAGTTTGGCTATGTTCTCTTTAGTTTCCTTGGTGGTACTCTTAGGGCAGTGGTTCTCAAAGTGCAGACCGAGGCCCAGGGAGCCTGCTGGAAATGCAAACTCTCAGGCCCACCTCAGACTTGCTGAATAAAAACCTGGGGGTGGGGCCCATGCAGCAATCTGTGTTTAACAGCTCCTCCAGGTGATGTGTAGGCACAGTTCCAGTTTAATACTGCTGTCTTAGGGCGAGGGGAGGCATGGAAGCTGGAAGCATGTTGCTCTGGCAGAGAGCCAGAATGGCTACAAGATTGTCATCCCTTCTGCCTGGACTCACCTCCTTCAGAACAGTCAAAACCAGAGCAAGCTTGGAACATACCTAAGAATCCCTTCATGTGGAATCCCAGGTGCCACCCTTCCTCGTTCACAGGACAGAGAATAGAGCCGAGCCTTCCATCAAACAGGGAATGCTCTTTGCACAAGACAACATCCATACCAGTTTATGTCAGACAGATGGTATCCTCACCACTTCCATAAAAGCTGAAATGTTTGAGACAGCAGCTGTGGCACACGGCATGGATGGAGTAAGAACTGGACTCTGTTTCCTTGTCTGGACTCACAAATGGGATGTGTTGCCCTCTTCTGGATCAGTCTTTTCAAATGCCTGTACTCTTCTGGCAAAAGGTGTTTTAACCTTTTCTGGTTCATAAAGGTCTCGTGAGACCCAGCATTTCCACTTGGGGCCTTGGAAATGCCTTATGCATTATTAAGTTGCAATGTTTCCTTGGGCTGAATAAAAAATAATGAATCTTATTTTTCAGGTCTCATTAAAAATCTGCAAAAATTTGGAAATGGTTTTGATTTAATGTTTTACATTGGTCATTTTACATTTCTATATACAATGGGTACCAACTTTTGATGCAGAACTCTATGAGCCCTGTGGGATGTCCCTGGAATTTAAGGTCCTTAAATCAAGTTTTAGGTTTCCTCAAGAACATCTCAAAGACTCCTTTATTACTGACATGCTGTTTGTTTCTGAAATTAATCACTGGGTATGTAACGCAGCCACATTATAGTCTCCTCATCGACAAGTAATACTGCTGTCTACAAATGTGCAGAAACAGCTAAGCACAAAGCATCATTTCCAACACACTTGATAGCTGTTCTGGGTGCTCGACTTTTATCAGGTATTAAATCCCCAGGCCTCTCTAGAAGAGTATACAGACGTATAGATGTTTGAGGTTTACTACAGTGTATATGCATGCATATATATTTCCTTTCTTGAACATATGTGTTTTTTTTTAAGATTTTATTTATTTATTTGACAGAGAAAGAGAGACAATACAAGCAGGCAGAGCGGCAGGCCGAGTGAGAGGGAGAAGCAGGCTCCCCACCCAGAAGAGAGACCGGCAGGGGGGTGGGGGGGGCTCCATCCCAGGACCCCGGGATCATGACCTGAGCCAAAGCCAGTTGCTTAACCAACTGAGCCACCCAGGCACCCCTTGAACATGTATTTTTAGAAAACTTCCCTGTTTTTCCAACCAGGTAGGGCACAAAAGGAGTAGGGTTGTCCCCAAGTGGAATGGGTTACCCTAGGAAGCCATAATGTCCCATTCACTCTGGGTCTTCAAGAAAAGAATGAGTGACAACCCACCATGATGTGGAGGGAATCTCTATATTAGGTGATGCGCCAAAATAAAGGACCCTGACCCACTGTTCCAGCTCCAAAATTCTCAAATCCCCTCTTTCCCCAGCCAGTAGCCAACTTACAGACTGCCCTTCAAATGCATCCTGAAAGTTTGTACAGTTGCGGAACCAATTCCAGTTCTATCAATATTAGTGGATCTATATCACAAAAATAACAACAGTGCAGCCAGTCTGGGACAGAGCCTTTCTTTAACCGGAAAGCAAATCCACTAAATGTCTTTATAGCTCTTGACCCTCCGTTTACAAGAGATACCGGCTCCTCTCTCTCAGATTCTGTG